GACCGCGAGCCCGACGACTCCTCACTGTGGGCCAGAACACCAAGAGGAGAATGAAGAGAAGCCCCAGCGCGATGATCGCCAGATCGTAGTCGCCGTCGTCGTACTTGGTGCGGATGCTCTGGTACCGCTCGTCCATGTCGTCGAACAAATCGCCAACCTCCCTGACTCGCTCGATGCTGGAGCTGACCAGGTCGCCGATCCCTAGGGCCGACCAGGCCTTGTAGGCCACAAGGCATCCCAAGCCCACGACCCCGAAGGTGCGATGCGTCCAGACGGCCACTCCCGTGGTGAAAGCGTTCTCGGCAATCCAGTACACCATGTTCGAGCGATTGCTCTTGCGCCCCTTGCCGGTCTTGGCCGCCGCCTTGGGCTTCAGTTTGGCGGCCGCCTTCTTGCGCCCGAGGGCCCAGTCTCCCCAGCCTGCTCCACGTCGACGTCGAATGCGGAGGCTCTCATCCTCCAGCTCCTTCTTCTCGTCCCCCGTGACGCCCGGGAACGGAGCCCAGTCGATCCCCGCGCGGGGCCTCGTGAAGACCTTCTGCTTGTCCCTCAAGTCCTTGGTCTGCACACGCCCTGTCGGATCCACGATCGCGTAGGTCCCCGGCTCTCCTTCGACTGGGTCGATCACGAGCGCCGTCATGCCGCGTCGCCCAGCCACATCAGTGAGAAGATAGACTCGATTCCACTTCTTCCACGCCATCGGCTCGACGTCGTCGTAGTACAAGGACGTGTACCCGTCGTAGTCGCTGTACCCGCGGCTGGGCTCCACTTCGATGCCGTCGAAATGCTCCACCTCCTCGAGCTCTGGATCGCCGGCCTCGTCGTCGTCCCTGTAGTAGCTACCAGAACCCGGATCCAGGCCGAAGAGGCTCCTCAAAGCTCGCCGCCCTCGACTGCCAGCGAAGGAGAGGGCGGCGAACGACAACCACAAGCAAGTGCGCGTGATGCCCGCGATGGCGCGCGCGGCGCCGACCCGAAGGTCCGGGAAGAAGGCACTCGCTCTTAGCCTTAATTGCTGCGGAGCATATTCTGTCAACAGACGGCCTTCAAAGCCCAGGGAGGACGAGAAACTGAGATTAAATCAACGAATGTCCTAACAATCGGGGAAACCTGCAACGCGAGAGAACTAGACCCCAGGCCCCTGGGCACCCGGAGGCACGATACGCCTCGATCCACTACATGGACTGTGACGGGATACGCCGACAGTCATGTTGAGAGCCTCGAGCTCTTGCATACCTGCAAGACCTCTCAGCGCACTGTACTCCTGCACGACTACGAAGAGCGTTCTACCTAAATCTACTGCGTCCCGTCTTTCCAGAAGGCAAAGCGAACCACTTCAGCCCACGCGTTGCGTAACGCTCCACGCGTCACCTGCACACGAGCGCGGCAGACGACACTTGGAACTTCGACTCCCAGACCTCCACATGTGCCTACTCAACATCCGCAGGAAAAATGGCGCACCACTCTTACTCTCTTGGGGAGAGGCCGAGGACAACGTTGAACTTCTGTGCATGTTTTTCTGTGCTTTCTTGATGTGTGTCGGACCGCCTTTGATTTATGCGTGCTTCTGTATTGAATACATGCGTGTATAGGTGTGGAGGGGAATCCATGGTCTGATGTCGCAAAGACGATGGATCGTGCCGAGAAAATCTCGCAAGTGGCGCGTCTCTGAGACATCTCGCGATGACCGCCGCGCCTGTATGTCACCGAGCGCTAACCGCCACGACGACCTGCTGACACGAACGCGGGGCGAATGGAAAATAATATGACTCACATCAGATGCAAAAATGGAGATATCGTGGCGGTGCTGGGCTACGCGCGGAATTTGCGCACACAAGCCACCTCGTGCCAAAAAACACAGTAGGCGCGTGCGTTCGGGCTGCAAGCCAAGTCACCATTGACGTGGTGGTCGTGGTCGTCGTCGTCGACGCCGTCGTTGTCCTTTCGTCATCGTCGTCATCGTCATCGCCATCACCTTCGAAGCCATGGGAAAGAAAGTGCCGCGCGCCGACCGCACTGTGGAAGCTCAACATGAAGCGAGAGTGCCGGCTACCAATATTCTGCGCGCTCGCTTCCAGGAACCCCCGTGGCAAGCAAAAGTACAACAAAGCACAGGCGCTTCTCCATGCCAACCGCAAAGGTGATGCTAGTAGGCGGAGACTATTACGGGTAGGCGGAGCGAAGCTCACAGCCACACCCCAATACTAGAAGCCAGAATGGCAACGACAACAACGCTGGTCGGGAAAGATCGCTGGTTTCGACGACGGCCGCCCTCAGTCTTGCCTCCCAACTCCTTCCCTCCCGCCTCCTCTTCCGACTCCTCCTGCTTCGGACCATAGAATACACGTACAGGGAAACAGACACATGCTTGCACCAGACAACTGTCAGCATGCTTCGCTGGGGTTCCTCGTCGGCGATGACACGACCACTACTGCGTCTACATTTACTACAACGACTACAACGACTACTACGACGACTCCTACTAGTACTACTCCCACTACTACTTCTACTGCTACTACGAGGTCTACTACAACTACTGCTGCTGCTACTCATCGTGCTACTGCTGCTGTGCCTCCTAATCCTACTACTACTACTGCGAGCACTACTCCTTCTACCACGACACCTACATCTACTGCCACTGAAACTTGTCGTGTCGCTACTACTACTACTACTACTACTACTACTACTACTACTACTACTACTACTACTACTACTACTACTACTACTACTACTACTAGTACTACTACTACTACTACTACTAACTACTACTACTACTACTACTACTACTACTACTACTACTACTACTACTACTACTACTACTACTACTACTACTTACTACTACTACTACTACTACTACTACTACTACTACTACCTACACCACCACACCACCACCACCACCACCACCACCACCACCACCACCACCACCACCACCACTACTACTACTACTACTACTACTACTACTACTACTACTACTACTACTACACGGAAGCGAAAGGAAGGAGAAACAGGGGAGCTATGCGGAGCCCAGCGGACACACGCCTGACACACACCACTGTCGGCATGCTTCACAAGAGGTGCTGCTGTGAGATGGGCTGGTGGGGGTACGCGAAGCGTAAAGAATTTAGGACCTACAGCGACACGCACAACAGTATACAAGTACTTGCCGTCACTCGGACGTCCATTTCCCGTACACTTTTCGGTTTCGTGCGTGCTTTTTTTGTGCTCGATGGTCCAGGATGGTCATCGATAGTTCTCGCCGAGAAAAAAGCACACGTCCGAGCGATGCCAAGAGTACATCGTTAGAATTACCACGCCTGCTTCAATCTGGCGCTGTGCTCCGACATCGCTCGAGCGGCCCGGCCGCGCTTCCTCGCTGGCCTCTGGAGGGAGGAGGTGGAAGGTCCCGCGTGGGCGCGGACAGGGGACCGCAGATACGATTGCGAGAGAGAGAGAGGGAAAGGATAACGAGGGCCTAAGGGATAGGCGCTCTTTGCTGTTGAAAAGAAAGCGAATACCTCCTTGGGCTTCATTCCTTGGTCTGCGGGCAAGTTGTCTTGGGGGGACGGGGACAAACAATCATATCTCGAGATCTCGGGCGGCATCTGGTTAATCTTTGGAAGTCCCTGGAGGCATCCGGAAGCTCACGTAAACGCAGAAAATTATGGGATCGAGCAGTGACATAATCATGAAAACTGGGAGGTGCGCGCGGATTCCTCGGATCGGCGCTGGGGGGCCCCTGGTGGCGCTTCCAGCGCCGCCCCTGGCGCGCTCCGCGCACCAGGGAGGGGGGTCCAGCGCCGACCGGAGAAACCTGCGCGGACCTCAGATTTACGTTTATGTAACTATGTTCCCCTAAAACAACCGGGAACTGCTAGGACAACGGAACAGCACACGCACGGGAAGGGGCACAGGCAGGTGCCGACCTCGAGGGTTGCGGGGTCGAACGGAGCGCCAACTGGGTGCAGACACCGGTCCTGGCCGCGCCTCTCCTGGGCCTACGACCGACCTGACCAAGACCGCTGTGGGCGTCCCGCTGGCGGCGTCTCGGTGTCCCAGGCTGGTTGCGTCGGCGCGAGCACGGGCTCCCGTCTCTGCTCGGAGACGCGCTGTCGGTAGGCACCAACCTGGGTCAGCCAGGGAGGCCGGCCAGGCCACGAAGCACGGCCCCAAGCCCGGCTAACCTGACGAGGGGGGCGAGGGTCGCCTGGACTCGGTTCGCAGACACAGGTGAGCTTGAGGGTACAGTCGGGCTGCTGAAGTAGAGAACGCTACATAAGGAACGAAGCCCCTCTGTGGCTTCAAAAAAAACCTGGGTGCACGAGAAGGGCTGGAGGAACAACCACAGAAGGACGTAAGGAACATCGAGCCCCTTCCGAATCCAAACTGTTCCTTACTTCAGCGTCTTGGCTGTATCGGAGTGGATGGTCTGCTCCCCGTGGCGTGCACCCCGTTCTTTCCTGCCGTCCCTCGTCGCTGCTCCGGCCTGGCGACCTTCGAGATGGCGCCGTGCCCGCGAGCGCGCATCTCTTAGGGGCTCAAAGACCAGCCCCGATCCATGTAGGAGTTCCGACTGGAAAGTCGCGGGCGGTCCAGATGCAATCTGGGGGGATACTGCACTTGGAAATTTGGGGTAAGTATGAGAACGATCGTGAGATCGACAGTGAGCTCCATAATGCTATCGGTAGTGAGATCGATAGTGAGATCGATCTCACTCTATCGATCGATCGAACCCAGAACCAAAAACCCGGGAACTCCGCGATCGGGAACGCGGAACTGGTAACCCGGGAACCAAGAACCCGGAACTGGGAACCCTGGCACCCAGAACCGAGAACGCGAGAGCCCGTCGGCCTACCAAAATCGGCCGCCCACTTTCGCCAAATCCCTCAAGATCCGCTAGGACCCCTTCAGTGCAAGCATCAATTGGGGAATGGCAGAGCGAGACGTATCGGGAAAGCCTCCTGCTCTGCTGCCATCGCCCCAGACATTCTCGGCCGACGAACTCCTGGGCTGCAAATCGTCGATGAAAGGCAGCAGCGCAGGCTTCGCCCGGTATGTCGACGGCAGCCCCCGTCGATCAAAGTAGTGACGGAGGTGCTTGTGAATGCCGCTGTTGTCCAGGGATGCAGTTACGCTCCAACTTTCCACCCACTCAGGTCGGTCATCGCTGATGGGTGTCTGCGAAATCTGCTTGGGTTCCTCCTTACTTTCGTTGGAGAACTCCGCGTGCTGGCCGTCGAAGTACCTGCGCTTGGAGTACGGCATGCCTGGGCAGTCCTGGCCCCCGCGGGGCATGTGATGATGCTCGTCCCAGCGCGGCTTCCTCTTTGGCGGCGCGCGCAAGGGGTGGGACGTGGGGTGTGGCCTCAAGGAGGCCATGGGGCCTCTCAGACGCCGCCTGGCCTTTCGCAGACCCCCCCCCCATTTCTGGGACGCCCCCTGCCGTCTCAGGCGGCCGCACACCTTGCCCCCCCCCCCCCTGTTTGCCGAGTGCTACCAGAGCTCAACCAGGAAGGCGACCGCAGCTGTACTGGGCAGGCCGAGGTGGCCCACAACACCTCACACGCGCCCAGAGGACCCCGGAGGTCCCGAGGGGCGGCGAAGGCTGGGGACACCTTCGTCGAGGGTCACCTCTGATGACCTCCCGTTGCGCATTCCGCCATCCTCGATTGCTGCTGCTGCTGCTGCTGCTGCTGCTTCTGCCTCTGGGCCCTGGCCAGCTTGCGAGCGCCAGGGCTGTCGGGCTTCGCAGCGGCAGCCTCCGCCATGCCGCGGCGCAGAGGGCGCGCGGCGCGCGGGGGGGGGGGGCGCGGCTGCAATGTGCCGAAACGAGAGCGGCACCTGTGCGCCACCACCGTGCCTGGCGAGGGCCATCCCGAGCACTGGCAAGCGCTCAACTCCCAGCGCGCTCAAATCAAACTGTCGAACCCGAATCGTACCCACCCGGCCTTCCAATCGGACTACAAGCCTAGCGCACACGTACGGATGCAAGGTACGGGTGCAAGGCCCTCGGATGTAGCTCTAAAAACAAACTCGTACGGATGCAACGTAAGGATGCAACACCCGCCCCGCGGAGACAATTACAGCGGCATCGGGCCGACAAATCCAGAGTCTACGGCTGCTGTATCCTAGAATTCGCTGGCCCAACGGGCCAGAGACGTGCTAAGATCTCCGGTAACTGGTTCACAATTCTTCTAGTTCGGGCGCGCGGGGCGGCCCCTGGGGGTCCCCCGGCGTAAAGTACCCCGACCGCAGCCCGGGAAGGTCTACTCAGAGATGGTTTTCCTCCTGGGTACGGCCTCTCAGGCCCCCCAGAGCGCGCCAAGAGGGCCCCAAGAGGCCCCCAAGACTGCCCAAGAGGCCCCCGAGACGCCCAAAGGGCGCTCCAAGACGCCGAAGATGATCCCAAGACGGCCCAAGACGCCGCCAAAACGCTCCAAGAGGCCTCACAAGAGCGCCCCGAGAGGCCCAAATCATAAATTTTACGATGGTTTTGGAAGGATTTTGGCCTTGTCGCATTTTCGGCTTTCCGATGCTCCAAGACGGCCCAAGAGGCCCCCAAGAGCGCACGAAGACGGCTCAAGTGGCCCCCAAGAAGGCCCCCAGAGAGCCCAAACGGGCCCCGAGACGGCCCAAGAGACGCCCAAGACGGCCCAAGAGAGCCCCAAGACGCCCCAAGAGGGGCCCAAGATGGGGACCACGAACCGAAACCTCGAGCCTTCCGCCCCAAGAGGGCCCCAGGAGGCCCCGAGAGGCCCCCAAGATGGCCCAAGATGCCGCCAAGAGGCCCCCAAGATACCCCAGGAGGCTCCAAGGAGGCTCAAAAGAGGCCCTACAAGGCTTCAAAAATGTCTCCCAGGCGCCCCCGAACGGCCTCTCAACAGACCCCAGGGCCTCCCAAAGAAGCATCTGGACGACGGCCCTGTTTGGCCCCAAGAGCGCCGCAAGATGCCATCAAGAGGCTTCCTCCTCCGCCCTTTTCTCTTCCTCCTCCTCCTCCTCCTCCTCCTCCTCCTCCTCCTCCTCCTCCTCCTCCTCCTCCTCCTCCTCCTCCTCCTCATATTTATCTTCATCCTCCTCCGTTCCTTCTCATCCTCTTCTCCTCCTCCCCTCCCCCTCCCCATCCTCATCTTCCTCCTTCCGGCGGCGCCGAAATGGCCCCGAGCCCGCACCGAAGCAGTAGCGATCATGCAAAACGGGCCGGCGGAGTGAGCGAAACGATTGAATATTTGACTCCAGGCTCCTGGAGCTTTTTGGAAAGGTCTCGAGGTGACACCCCCTGCGGCCTCTGTGGATCACAGGATCGAGGCCACTGGAGGCACTCAGGGGCCCAGGACCAAGACCGCTCCCGAACCTGAGTCATGCTCCACAAACGCTGGCCGTGCGGAAGGTCAGGCTCGTCCCCGCAAGCTCTCTGCTGCTCCCCCTCTCCCATTAATGCATGTTCTTGCCTCCCCTCATGTTCCTCCTCCTCCTCCTCGTCCTCCTCCACCTCCCTCTTCCTGCTCTGCCTCCCTCTCCCCGTCCTCTTTCCCGTTCTTCTCAGCGCCTCCTGGTAGTCCGATCCCCCCTCGACGACACCCCGACCACCACGTAGTGATTGCAGAACCATGGAGAAGCTCTCGAAGGCCATAATGCACATGTGAGACAAAACTCCGAAAGGAAGAGAAACATGTGCTTGGCCGAGCAGCCGCAGTCTTTCTGGAAGTAGATCGAATTCGTGGCGAAAACGTGGGGCACCCCGACGGCAACCCCAGACAGCATACAAAACTGGAACCAGATCAGATGATGTGCACCGAAGTCTGGCCAGGCCGAGGCCTGCGAGCTGTCTGGGGGCCGCCGAGGCGGCCAGGCTCCCCTCGGGCGGCCCGTGGGCCCACGCAGCCCGAGGGGGCCGTGGTCATGCATACTGTCGGGCTCCTGGTACATACTAACTGTCGTCGCTGCCACGCCCTCGTGCTTGCTTTGGCCGAGGAGGACGCTCTTCGAGGTCGTCCAACATGGCGTCGGCGTCTGACTTGGACTTGGATTTGCCTTTTTCCCCCACCTTTGCCCAGCATGCCCTGCACCAGCGGGCCGTCCGACGACCTCTGATGGGCCAGGCCAATGGCGTCGAGGCGAAGCGAGGACACAGCGATACGCTTGAGCATACGCAAAAACTCGAGGTCCGCCAAATTGGACGGCATGAGCGTAAATATCCATACAAAGTTCCCCTTGGGATCGGGATGGCGAGACGGCTTGAAACGGAAGATCTGCTCATCAAGGTGCTCCGCGGAGAGGCCCTTGAGCTTCTCGAGCGGCTCCCTGAGGTCTGATGGCGAGGGAAGCTCACTGAGAAATATGGACACGAACTTAACAAAGAGAAGTGCACGCTGTGAACCGAACTCATGAGGAGGAAGCTTGGCATTCTTGTCCGTGGCGAGGGCGACCTTGTGAGCGTCCTTACGCTCTTTGTCTTTGGCACGCCATCCCTGTCGTAGGTTACGAATCTGGCTCTTTGACGACTCATCTTTGAAGAATACAGCATAGCAAATCCTGTCCTGCAATTCATGGATGTCTGGCTCATGGCTGGCTTGCGCCCGCTCAAGATTGCGAACTCGCTCCTCAAGGCTCGAGTTGGGTGCAGCACGAGCAGGCCTGCGACCAGCATCCACAGGCGTAACATTGGCGATGTACGCCTCAGCGGCCTCCAATGCCATAAAAGAAGAAATCAAACCACTGAAAGACCTGCTTGAACCCTTCTATGGCGACACACAACTACACGAGCGGCACACGCACGTACACTGGGAAATCGATTCTGACATTGAGGACACATGGCCGTCCAACTTGCACGTTCTGATTCTGTAGCTTTACGATTTGCCCGATTCATATTGAACTTCAACCATACTTCATACGGGGCCGAAACACAATTATAACGATGCATAGCATAAGGTATTTCCAATTTGCAATAAGGACAGACCAATTTCCGAGCACTCTTAGTAGTAGCCGACGTACGCAATGTTCTATCATATCTTTGGAGCTGACGGGGTTTCGGTGGTCGAATACGTTTGATGGGTCTTGATAGGTCCGTGTTCAAGGTCATGGAGGACGATTTGCATGTGGCCGACAATTGGCGACTGACCGACATTTGTTTACCACGAAGGCGAACTCTTTTCTGGGAACCCGACGCTTGTTTACCCCTGGCTCGTACTCGTTTTGTTGGAGGAGGTGGTGCCGGAGGAGGGTCAGCAGCGGCAGCAGATGGCGCGGCAACATCAGGAGGAAGGCGCAATCGTTTTTCTGGGGCACCCAACACACCTGAAGGAGGTCTCTTGCCTCGGACACGCCGGCTCGGGTGGGCGGCGCGCTGCCACGAGCGAGTGTTTGCCTGCACCCGCCCCTGCTCTGTGAGTGCCCGCCCTCTGCAAAAACGTTTGTGAGATGCCAGCGTCGCTCTCATCAAGCCGCAGTCGGGGCATGCATGCAACTGCTTAGGCGGCAAAGGAACTCCGCGGCAGTGTCGCAGATGTGCCGCCAAATTGAATACCTGAGAAGCGCAGCTCGGACACGTGACATGACCCGATACTGTTCGGGTCACAGCAGCAGATCGTACTTGCTCAATGTACGCAGCGCGGGTCGCACTATGCCGCTGTCGCCGCGCATCCGCATCAAGACGCCGTTGCAAATCTTTCAGGAAAAGGTGTTGAGCCTGCCGCCAGCGGTGACTACGATCAGGCAAGGTAGAGCCCTGCCCTGCAAACTGTTGCCACTCTTTTGCCTGCGTATGTACTGCCAATCCAGAATATGCCATGATCTCCTGCATACGTGTCTTGAACATACGAGCCTGCGGGGTAGAGCAGGCGGGGCGCGTGGGATCCAACAAAAAATGAAGCACTGCTCGCTCCAGTCGATCAGGTGGTAGTCTAGCAAGGTGGCCCAAATAGCTGCCCTGTCGGTGCACTATGTAGTACTCGACGTCGTGAAGGCCAAGCTCGAGTCTGATGTCAGTACTGGTAGCTCGTCCTTTCATCCAAGTAAGAACGCCCGTCTCGATCTTGTCGTGATACAAATACCTCAAACACCTATTCATGAACAAACGATATCTGTGATAGTCACTCTTGCTGAACTCACGTATTTCACAACCATAGAATAGTGATGCCAAAACCGTAGCTTCAAAAACGCGGCCCTTTTGTCGTAGACTGAGGCCCAAACGAGGAAGACGTCCTTTCAGCTTCTGCCAAAGTTTACCAGCAGCCTGCAAACGGCGACTGGTGTCCTCGGTGGTGCCTCCGTTGGAGTCGATGTGGCAGCCGAGAAACCTTACGGATCGAGCCCAGTGTCGATCCTCTGCCGTGAACGGGTACTTCGGCGATACCACAAGTCGTTCAAACTTATCTGGATGTGCCTTTTGTCCAAGCTCATGCAACGTACGAATGATCAAATCCTCCGTGGAAGGTTGGCGGGCCTTCGTGCTCACCGCGGTCGTGTCGTCCGCGAACCCCAGCACTCTCAAAACAGAAGGGATGATGTTGGGGTCCCTGGTCTTGCCCGTTTTCCTTCGTCTTGTGGTTGGAGTCGATGGGGTAGTTGGTTGGGTCGGTGGGGCAATAGTGAAAAACTTAATACCATCAGAAACCATTCTATCCTTCAATCTCCTCAAAACCAAATTATGCAACAAATTGAAAATCACGCAGCTCGAGGGGCAGCCTTCTCTGAGACCTCTCCCCAATCTGCGCGGACGAGAGTCCTCCGTAGGCAATCTTATCACATATTCTGTACCACAATGAAGTCCTCGAAGTCGCACGATCATGTCCTGAGGGATGCCGATCTTCTCGA